TATTTACCGTCCATTGTCTCCCGCACTGCGTTTAGGTTTGTATTTGCTGCACTTGCCATGATGAAAAAACGCTTGATAGCAAGTGGCTCACACAAGTAAAGAAAAGTAAAAATCGTTTTTTTTTTTGCAGCTACTTCCCCTGCTAAGCTAAACGTCTAACCGGGAAACGGAAATGACGACATCTCCTTTTTTCCCCCTATCATTCATTGGTTCCCAAACACTTCCTGCTTCATTTCGATTGGCTTGCGGGCCTTGTGGGGCGAAATTGAAATAAACGTCTGAACCTTCTCTGTACAGCTTGTTTTGCTTTCTGACTCTTTAAAGAAGATTGTGTGTGTGGGTTTTTTTTGAGCCGTGTGGTCAAAAGTCCGGGCTCGTTAACAATTGTAAGTATCAACTGCACAACATTTCAACAGAGTTCATGTTATTATGTAATATTCAGTTTTTTATGGAAAGAAGGAAATGTGTAACGAATCTCTGTAATTTAAATCCTGCTGCACCGCTTCTTTTGAAATCTAATACAATTACAATGTTGACACGAAAAGTAATGTCGCTTGTTAACGTACCAAACTTTTAAAAAATATATATATTATGCAAAAGAAAGTTTTGTTTTCCGTGTTTGTGTCGTTTTGGTGATTGTTGTACTTGTCTCTGCCTCTGCTGATTGGACGCTGTGTTTGTTGTGTGTTAAGATGGGAGACCATGTCGAGTTACAAATTACTCCAGAGACTCCAGGCAGGCCGTCTGTTAGAAACCCCTTTGAGAGTCCCAATGACTATCACCACCTCAGAGAAGCCCTAGTCCCGAGTCCGTCTGTCTTCAAGTCAAGGCCGTGCAAAGCTGTAAGTCTGAACACCTCACCTACTAACAAGACACACAACATCTCCTTTTCCCCAAATATATATATATATATATATATAACACTGAAATGTGTCCATGTATCTCTGTCTCTACAGACTCCTCCTAAATTCAACTGGTCTATTGATGAAATGGCCAGTCTCCAGCCAGTCCACATAGACCAAGAGGAAATCCAGCGACAATCTTTTTACCTAAGCCAGACAAGGTGCGTGCTAAAAGACACAAGTCTCAGCAGCCATGATCAACAGGTTAGGCTGTAAGGATGATATAGATAGAGAAAACTGAAAAGATGATAAACCTTGTCGCTTCTGATCCAGTGGGAATTTACAAGACAGAACTGTTGTTGTTTTCAGGATGGATTCAGACATCGAGGAAAAGCGTCAGAATGCTATTGAGCAGGTACGTAGTTTAATCAAGTCACATTTTACAACGCTTAAGTACTAAATATGTTGGCAGTTTAAAGATTGTGTCGTTTTTCTTGTCTCAAAATCAAGTTTTTCACCAAAGGAGCCATTGTGCCCTCCCCCTGGGCAGCACCAGACACCCGTAAAGGCCCTCAGTTATATAAAAAAAGTAAGTCTTCGTAATTGTTTCACCTCCTCAGCCCATATTTTCAGCTTGTCCTGCATGTATGTCCTTCCTCAATGATACTTTCTTGTTTTGTTTATTAAAGTAAACATTTTGTGTTCATGTTTGTGTCTTTGTGCTTGTAGGTTGCATGTCTCCAATGATTGCAGAAGAGCCAGAAAAAGTCTCAGGTTGGTTTGCTCTTTTGAGAGGGTTTGGTTTCACTTTCTACAGATGCTGCTGTGTGTCTTCAACTTTCCTTTACTACCTGCTGACTTGTTTTGTGATCCCTCCGTGTTATGTTGGTTTTGCAGTTGCTTGTCAAACGACTCTTTCATTACCGTTGGCTTTCGATTTGGAGAAAATACTTGGTAAGTGTCTAATGAATACACATTCAAATCAAAGTGTGATTTGACCGTGTTTTTCCATCAAGTCACCATGCTGATCTTTTTTTTTTTTTTTTCCTCCTCTCAGGGGAGCATTACCGCCAGGAAGAGGCCTGTGATGCAGTGCAAGAGAGTCTCAGTTCTTCCTCCTTAAGAAGAAAACTCTTCCTCGATGGGCAGGGTAGTTACAGTGGCTCGGACAGCTCAAGCCCCCCAAGCCCAGAGAGAAGCCACGTCATGCAGGAGAGACCTTCTCTGACCAGAGGAGAGGAAGCTGCAGGAGGGGTTGAACCTATATTGTCTATCTTTTCTTCACCTTTGTCCTGCGGTGTGACTGCTCAGACTCCATCTACGGTTAGTGGATAGAGATGTAAATTGCCATATTCAACTGTGAATTCTCTAAATATGTTAACTTCACAAATAACAATGTTTTTTTTAATGATTTCAAGCAAAGATAATGTTTGTTAAATTACAGTTAATTAAAAATTGTACCTGCATTTCCTTTACTGTAGGGTCAGTTCTCGTCCAGTCCCATCCAGCATGGCTGCTTCCGGGACTGCAGCCTTGGCAGCATCACCAGTCCCTTGTTCCCTGATAGGTCATCTCCTGCTCGTCTGGTCTCTCCTACAATCTCTCCTATTGTTGCACATGCAGCACGCACGCCCATTGGCTCAGGTAGACCACTGATTTTGTGAAATAATGAAGAATCGGATTGAATATTTTTCTCTAAAGGGTTTTACTTACCGATTTAGAAAACAATGTTGGGATGTGGGCTGAGTTCATCTTCAAACTAAATCTAAATCTGTTCCTTTTTTGCAGCTGAGAGGAAGCAGCCAAACCATTTGACCCCACAAGGCGTTCCCCTGGACATGGACGTCCCTTCCTGCAACGAGAGCCCATTTGTAGAGGGTTGCTCTCCCATTCGTAGCTGCTCCCCACACCAGCTTCAATGCAAAAATGAGCCCCAACATAACGCCAGGCCAAAGCCCAGACCCCGAGTCCGCTGCTGGGCCTCACCTCCCCTCATCTCCCCGATCCTGAACCCTAGACTCCAAGACAACCAGGAGGCGGAGGAGCAACTATCGTCCATCTCATCCTCTTCTTCTCTGCCCCCTATGGAGCTTGATCCGTCTTCTCCTATGCCTTGCAACGCTCGCCCCGCTGTCTTAGAGAGAGTCAGCCTTGATCTCATGGAACCTGTGAAAATGGAGGAAGACAAAGAGATGGGGGTGGATGGGAGGCTGGAGGATGAAGAGGAGGAAAGTGGAGGGCCTTTGGGGCAGCTGACAAGCTCTCGTATGGGAAATGTGTCGGCAACAGAAAGCTCTCATATGTTTGTGTCTCTTCTGGCAGAGGGGAGCAGCATACGCTACGATTCCAGCATGCAGGTTAGTGTGAGCAATTTATTCAAAGCCAAACTAAGGGCTTCTTTTTTTCCTTTTGTATTTCACTTACTCTTAAATAAATGAATTGTTGCTGATCCATTCATACTGATGTTTATCTCATGGAATATTTGTTATACGGTTGTCAAAATTGTACCACATTTAAAACTATACAATCTATTATTTTAATGATCAATAGTACTGATTAGTAACAAAGATACAAATAATAAAACTTGAGATCTTCAGTCTTGCATTTTACTAAAAGCTGCCACAAGCTAACTGTCTAATTTGTACAAAAATTTGACTGCATTTTTTGGTAATTAAAAACAAGAAATGCCCAATATTAGTTGCCTAGCACGTCTACCTTTTGTAGCGGTGGTATCTAAACAGGGATTGATATCGTGTAATTTTTACTAGAACCGTATCTGAGCTAAAAAAAACAAAAAAACAAATGTGGTTCTATGACGACCCTAATTCATTTTGGACTGCTGTTTGTGTGTCCAGGTGGATAGCGGGTACAACACAGCAGGCACAGCCAGTCTCATTGATGTCCTTAACTCGGACTGTCACAGCAAAGAGTCCTTCATTTCAAACCTGGCAGATGACACCTTCCAGGTGACACGACACACTAAAGTAAAGGTACTGCTTTCCCTTCCACACTAACATAGTGTAATGGATAACTTTGTGTCTTTTATATCTAAAACAATATCAGCCACTCATTTAAAACAAGCTTCCTGATTTCTGAAAGTTTTGTGCATGCTGCGAGGCTCTGTCTTTTTCACTATACTAAAAGTATTTGTTTTGTTTTCCAGGTGTTTTATGCTCACCACTGAGCCAGCGGATTGATGCATTTAAAGGGATGCCTCTTCCAGCGAGAGCTCAAAAGCGTTATTTTGCAATCAAATTCAAAGTTTACACTACCTTTATGGCAATTGTCAAACGAAACCTGATTAGAACGGAGGGGTTTCACAACAGGTTGATTCTTCTGAACGCATCACTATCTTAATATTTTAATATCACAGGAATAGGACCTGCTTATTGTCTCCTCAGTCCTACTGTAAAACACTGAACAAGGTTTCATCCGAAGTCATGAGTATATTTAGATCCACTCTGCTGCTTCAGAAAAGGGACAAGGGAAAAAAGAAAAGTGAACTCTGTGTCCAACATGCACAACATTAACCTCTTGAATGCTGTAGTGATGCTTACATCATTTCCATTTTCTATGGTGCTAATATGGTTGACTTAATAGATCCTGACTCTCAGATGACAGATATGTACTGTATATAAGTTTTTATGAAAAGTGTTTCCCTGATGATTTTACATGAGCTTTTCTTGATGAAGTCAAAACTGTTAATTCAGGATACCTGTGGTTCTTATTTGGATTGTTAAGAGTATTTATACCTGAATAAGATGTAATGAATAATGCCACTTGGGAATCAAACTTGATGAGCCATTTTGTTTTCCATATTTTGTATACTTAACCACGAGCTGGATTGTTGTCACATTAAATTAACTTGAAATCGTTGACTTGAGCAGACTTTTTCATTCTTTTGAGCCGGGTGCCTGCAGCACTGAGGAAGTCTGACTTCTTCATACTCCACACTAAGACTTCTTTAAGAGCTTACAATTATTATTAATGCCATCGCCTTCATGGTATTGCAAGTCACATCATGTTGGTTCACAATTCTTATCTAATAACGTTCAACCAATATTTTTTAGTATTTTCTTTAATTACATCAGTTTATCTAGAAATACTCAACTTAAAGTTAAAGACTCATTCTGGGCCTCCAAAACACACACATCCAAACAGGTTTAAAACAGTTTAATGATAAGAGTCCACATCTAAACTGGTATTGGACAATTTACATTGAATTCATAAAACATGTAACAAAGGTTTTAAAACATATTAAATGATTAGAAGAAGAAATTGTTGCATGTGATGCAGATTTACTGTTGTAGATTTAAAAAAAAAAAAAAATCCAACAGTCCGATCTTGTTCTCTTCTAGACTTTTTCATTTGTTGATCAGCTGCTTTCTGTGTCAACGGTCCAGTTTGGGTTTCTTTGCCTGAGGTTCAACATCTGGGACTGGAACGCTCACACCAGGAATCTGAAGAAATAAAAAAAAATAAAAATCTAGTATTTAAACAAGTGATTCAGTTTGGAATACCTGGGGGCAACATATAAAGTGGACTAGATCAAATCTACAAACAGCTGTTTGCTTTAATGTAAGAATTCTATGAAGGTGTAATGATGTAACATGTTTGTTTTTTAAATCAGGTAAGCCATATTCAGCTCACTCAGTCCTTACCACTGGGTCAATCAGAGACATGCGGATCTTCTGGTGCTGAATGTTAGAATCGTCCAGGCTGATGGTGACCTTCACCCTGTCAAATATGTGGAAGGTGTGCTGCTCCACCTTCAGACTGGGACCCTGAACACATAGAGAATGGAGATCATTAAAGCACAACCTTCTGATGGTTTCATTTTTCATGTATGTTCAGTAAAAAAAATTTTTTTTAAAGATTTGTGTGTTACCTCTTCATCAAAAACGAGGTTTGGGGCAGCCTTGTCTTTTTTGTCAAAGAAGACCGTTCCCTCCAGGCCAAACTTCGGGATGAGCACGATGATTGCGTTCTTCCTCACAAACAGAACAAATCCCTCTTCGTTCAGTATGCCTCTGCTCTTGAAGAACAACTGAAAAGAGACCATTGGTGTTAGAGTCATGACGTAGAGTCGGTTTCATTCCTTTTCCCTCTAACCTAAGGTTCACAGGGTTATAAATGGACATCACTCTGGTTCTCGTATTCAGTGGCAATTCTAGAGTCTGTTGGATCCCTAGGCAAAAAAATCACTGGGGGCCCCTCCAACCAGCGTTCATCACCATTATGTGTGCCAGTGTCCCAACGCTTACTCCTCTTCCTCTTTTTTTTTTTTTTTTAAATCACAGACAGATAATTCCTCTTCATTTTCCTTCATTGACAAATGTTGGTTTTCAAGGAAGAGGGAGTGCTGTCAGATGGGCCCCACTTCGAGAGGTATCCTACTGTCATTCATTTTGTTTTGCTAATTTGGAGCCACTGCTGTGGTTTAAAGTTTGTCAGCAGTTGCCAGCTTTGCCTATTGACAAACAGCGGCCTCTGCTCATGTTTTCAAACACGATGGTTCAGGATAGTTCAAAGAAAACAAACCAGTGTTTACCTGTGTGTGGAAGGCCACAGACGCCCTCTGTGCATACTGAGACATTTTATGCCTGTAGTTGAGGTTGTTGGAGAGGGCTGACTGTTTCTGTTTGTCCATCAAATCTGGATAGGTGCTGTCTGCTCCGATGGCCACTGCCAGCAGGCGGTGTACTATTATATCAGCGTACCTGTGAAGGAGAGAATGTGGAGGAAGTAGAGGTTTAGATCGAGAAACGATTACAACTCAACATATTGAAGATGCGCAACATATCTGCTTTCATACCTTCTGATAGGTGACGTGAAGTGTGTATAAATGGGCGAGGCGAGGCCGTAGTGGTGGAAGTCGCTGTCCATGCCGGAACAAAAATAAACCGCCTGCATCATGCAGCGAGTGGCCAGGATGCGCAGTAACGTGTTAAAGTACGGAAAGCCGTCCACTCTGGCCATGTCAAGGGAGTCGGCCAGTGCCTTCGCTGAATCTGTGTGGATCTCCACTTCCTGATAACAAGAGTTAATACATAAGAACATACTCAAAGTTATAGTGAATTTATAGGATCTGGATTAGCCACAAAGTATCGGTACTCTTCAGCGGGTCCACACAGGAGCCCCAGGAAACACAACTGAGAGTAATATCTTCTTATTCAGCCTTCTTTTTTTTTTATTCATAGAGAAAGGTTATTACACATTGACAGTCTAATGTCTAACAGGGGTCATGGTGTCTCAGGGGGAATTGTTGCTTAGAGGTATCTGGGAAGTTTTTTTTTTTTCTTTTATGGATACAATTTAGGTTTAAAACAATAAACTCTGATGAGAGTATATAAACCAATTTGCTTATTTGTATGGCTATATGATGGAAACAGATACCCGTAAGTAATACTAAGTGGTTAAAATAGATAAAGGTAATGTGTAAAGGTTTGAAATACTAACCCAAAAGGATTGCATATATTTTTGAAATGGTTAGCTAAAGTGGTGTAAATGAAAAGTGGTAAAAATAGATTACAAAAAAAGTAAAAAATGTTTCAAACAGTTGGACAAAAATATGTAATACATACTTTATAGAGTTAGCTAAATGTAAAATGTAAAAGTGTTGCTTAGTGGTAAGCTTAACTTAAAATAACAGATTTAAGCTTGAATTAGACTTCTATAGTTATTGGATAAAACAGCTAAGATAATTCGCTAGTAATCATCTGTTTGAATCGCTGAACAAATCTGAGGTTGAGGCTACACTACACCGTGTTCAAGCCTTGTTTGGATGTAGTTCAGCTCAGATTTGGAACGTCTGAAGGTACTACCAATTATGGAAACAACCTCCATACACTTGGTACATTTATTAAATAACCCAAAGGAGCAAGCTTGAAAACATTTATTCACAAGTATCCACTCACCTTGGACTTTGCAGCTTTGAGCAGGATGTCGTAGTTTGATGGGGGTGGTGCCGGATGTTTCCTCAGCATAGCACAATCTGGAAATTCATCATAGATCTTCTGGGCCACTGAAATATTTGCCAGCAACATGAACTCCTCCACCATGGAGTTTGTCTCCCTTTCAAACAGAGATGACTTGACTTTAATACATTCAAAACACAACATAGAACATTAAAACAAAACAGCATCACAATGAGCCATTTGGAGAACAGGAGAACATGTATCAAAGAGGTTCCTGAATTATTCTCACTTTAGAAGTCACTTACATGAGTTCCTTGGTCTGGAGGTCAATGGGGTCGTGGGTTTCACTGTCTATGTGAAAACGCACCTCTAAGGATGACAGAGTCAAAGCCCTGAAAGACACAATATATGTTAAATACAGCAGTTATACAAGTCATGATCAGCTAAACTGTCTTGATTTTTCTTATAATCTTCCTCCTTACCCTTTCTCTATCCTGTGCCTTTTGAGGATTTTGGCTATTTTGTTGAGACCGCGAAGGCTCTTGGTGATGTCATCGTTTTTGCTGGTGTCATCGATCTTCATCTGGGCCTCTGCATAGGTCAGAGATGCCTGCACCAGATGGAACCGCAGCAGGAGAAAAACAAGGCGGCATCAGATAACTTGATCCTCTAATTTTGCATCTTACAAAGAGCTAATAAAAGATGTTGACCGCATTACATTCACAGTTTACTTCAAAAAACACACGTATAACCTGATTCCCATCACCTAAATATTGAATAGTTCCTGTTATCATACATTGTATGTTGTTACAATACCTTGGAGTTTATGACACTTTTTGTGAAGCGGGTCTTTAGAATTTCAGCCTTGTGGTTAATCTCCCAGATACATGAGAAGGCCAGCCTGGTAAAAAAAAAAGAAAGAAAGAAAGGAAATCAGAGGAAAACAATTGAGAAAAGACTGGGGAAGAAGCAGCATTTATCATATTGATTATTGTTTCAGTACAAGTGCGTGTATGTATCGGAAATCCTCACCTTTCCACATTGGAGCGCAGAGAGCAAAGGTTGGAGCTGAGTAGCTCAGGAACCATATCTATCCTCTAAAGGAAACACAAATAAAGCACAACATTTGGGTTTCTTTATTTAGTTTACAGTGTCCAAACTTATTTGTTTGCATTGTTTCATTCAATGGTCAATGATGCATATCAGTTGTCAAAATTGCAAAAGAAAAATATATTTTTTGGGGCCATTTTTGCCCCTATTGGATAAGACAGCTGAAGAGAGACAGGACGGGTCGGGAGGAGAGATAGGAGGATGATACGCAGCAAAGGGCAGAGGTGGACTCGAACCCACGGTCGCTTCAACGAGGACCAAGCCCTACGTACATGTGCATGGAGCTGCGTGACAAAACCACAAGGCCACCGTAACCCCAAAGTTTGCAAAAGTTTGATGACAAACTGAAATGGAATATTCTTCAATTCAGCTGCAATATAGCCCATTGAGGTGAACTGGGCAAATATGTAATATAGAAATCTGAAATGGCTGAGAACAAGTGTATTAAAAAGTGTAATACACATCTAACAGGTTAGTTGTTCATCTTAAGTGCAAAAGTAAAAAAATAAAATCATAAAACTTACAAGAGTCGTCAATAGAATGCATTTAAAGTGACAATTATACGAATACACTAACACATAAGTGTGTGTGTGTGTGTGTGTGTGTGTGTGTGTGTGTGTGTGTGTGTGTGTGTGTGTGTGTGTGTGTGTGTGTGTGTGTGCAGCCTCCTTACTTTGCCACACAGGTAGACAGTGGTGCCTCGGTTTGCAGCCTCTTTGTCCATAGCGTTGCCAGGTCTGATGAAGTGACTGACATCAGCGATGTGGACCCCCACCTTAAGCGATATCAAAAATACTGTGAAATATTGAAACAAATAATGATCCAAACTACTACATCTTTTTATTGTATGTCAACAATGTGTTTACCTCAAGGTTTCCATTGTCCAGCTCTCTACAGTGAAGAGCATCGTCTATGTCTGTACATCCTGGAGGATCCACACTGCACACAGTCAGATGCCTCAGGTCCTCTCTCTTCATCATGTCCTTTAGCACATTAATAGAAACAAACACTTTAAATCAAAGGATGACTGACCAAATGATTAATTTTTTTTTTTTTTGAAACTGCAATACTGATGAATATTTCTCAAAACAATGGCCATTACCTCTGGTGTGATGCACCACGGCATCTTGGGAAGGAAACTGAGCACAGCCTGAGAGAAGGCCTGGTGGGGGACGTCATGCTCCAAAAGCAGAACCTCCTGCTCAGTCTCTTTGTCACCTGCACCTCCCAGGCTGCGCACAAAGTGACCCTAACAAAAGAGGAAATTAAAGATTAGTCTTTATGGACAGACTTATCTCCCCAGCACGTCTTCACCTGTGTCTGACTAAAGACATGTTGCTTTTTAGGATTCAAAACATATACATAAACAGTTCAATGTCACATGTGGTGATGGACCCACTCAAAGTAGGATATCTAAGATGTCATTCTGCAGAGGTTTTTTTTTTTTTTTACATACATTTGGATATCTGGAGTGTTTGGGCCAGCCGTCGATGGCCACCATGATCCTCTGGCCTGCCAGTGTGGCTGCCTGACGTGTTTCGATGCGTATGCGAGGGATACGGCGGTCTGCTGGGGTGAACAGATGGCGGGTAGACTGAGAAAAAAAAGGAAAAGAAAAACAGGGATGGTCAGTGCTGAGGGTTAAGAGACAAGAAAAAAAAGTTAGGGAAATGTACTGTATACTGTATACATGTTTACTAATACAAGCTTTAAAATATCCTATAAAACTTTTATGATATCTTCAACTTTTCAAATAAAGCAGACTAGACTTACCTCTTTAATCTGGGAGGTATTGAGCATGCCGCAAAAGGGCCTCCAGCTCCGTTTGATGATTCCTACGATTCTGGCTGTGGGCTTCCTCGATGCTTCAGCTGCAGATATCCGCAACTGCAGACACACACCAACAACAAAGAGCTCATTAAAGTAACTTGGCAACAAAGTTCAGAAAGCATAGCATCCAGGTATTAACCATCCATGTGAGCAAACTGCTGGCTTTTATTTCAACTATCAAGGTGGAACCAGCTCCTCTAACTGTAAGCACATTCAAAGCCAGTCCAATCAAAACTCACAGCCTTCTCTTCTTCTTCTTCTTCTTCAGCATCATCATCCTTTGCTGTGCCTTCGTCTTGTAGCACCACCGAGGAGGGCGCCACCCACTGATCACGCGGCAACAGCTGCACTGCAACTACATCCTGGTGAACTGCTCGATTGAGATTTTGAAGACCCTGGATGAGAACCTGGCAGCAAGGAGAGACCGTACAGGGTGGTTTTATAAATCTGTGCAATTAATGATAGTGTAGTGATTTCTCTACTGGAATCTTACAACATGACATTCTAACCCAAACCAGACACACAAACAAACACCTCCACACACACCTCTGTTGTGTCTTCCCCCTCTCCCTGGACAAAGACTGTGGCCTCCAGATAGTTGTCCCTGCTGGCCCTGAAGGTGCCCTGGAGGAAGGTGCCACTCTTAATTCCTGCTTGGATCCTGGACAAAGGGAGATGCTCAGGGAATAGCACCTTACTGCTGGTGACTTCATTCTGAGGGAAAAAGAAAAAAAAAGATTAAACAAAGGAATGTTTGGGAATGTAAGATGGTTAAACAGTACATATATAAAGCTGTGTTTACCTTGTCATCATTGGACAAAGCCAGACAATCCACAAGCTCAGGGTTCGCTATCAGACTCTTGATGTATTCTTCACCTAGAATACAAGAAAAAGAGACGCATTGGATGCATTGTAAATTAGTTCTTAAATCTAGCAGAACTGACAGAGAAAACCGCGAGAGGCTCTAACGTTGTGATAAATGTATAGTTGTGAACCAGAGATGGACACACCACTTACATTTGTACACCAGCAGGCCGCTCTCCTCCGCCTTTTGCTTGTTCCCATTGTCATTGGTAAGGAGGACCACCTTGAGCCCCTCTGCATCAGGCGCGGACGTCTTCAGGTGCTGGCTGTACCATTTGGTTGCGACACGGATGGCACGATCATTACGGTCATTGGCGCTCTCCCCTGGTTCACGCTCAACGAACGTCTCGCTGGAAGAATATATTACATAAGATGGGTTTGTAACAAGCTTTTAAGGCCTACAATTGTAATTCTTTTACTGAGCAAATCTTTATCATGGGGAGGTTTACTTTGGTGATGAAAAGTGAGACAATAGGCACTGACCACCGCGAACTAAGATCTATAAAGACATTGTGATGCAGTAGTGGTGTCTCAGGTGTCTTTATAGGATATTTTACAACATTTTTTATATATTTTATAGGATATTTTACAACATTTTTTATATATTTTATAGGGTATTTTACAACATTTTTAATATATTTTATAGGATATTTTACAACATTATTTTATAGGATATTTTACAACATTTTTTATATATTTTATAGGATATTTTACAACATTTTTTATATATTTTATAGGATATTTTACAACATTTTTTTATATATTTTATAGGGTATTTTACAACAATTTTAATATATTTTATAGGATATTTTACAACATTATTTTATAGGATATTTTACAACATTTTTTATATATTTTATAGAATATTTTACAACATTTTTTATATATTTTATAGGATATTTTACAACATTTTTTATATATTTTATAGGGTATTTTACAACAATTTTAATATATTTTATAGGATTTTTTATATATGTTATAGGGTATTTTACAACAATTTTAAAACTTTTTATGATGTATTTCAAAGGAATATAATGGGTATTTTAACAGGAGGATGTCAGGATGTATTTATGATATAGATTTAAGTATGTCTTTTAAACTTTAGGACCATGTGCACACTCACACACACGAGCATACATACACACATACACACAAACACAAAAAGGAAAATGAAAAATAATAATAATAATAAAAAATAATAATCAGGATGAGTGGTGACTGTGAACTAGTGACTGATTGTGAACTGATGAATTGTGAATGACTCCCTAATGATGCTTGACGACCTCCTTTCCAAACTCCTTTACCCTGCCAGTCCTGAGCTGTCCCTGCAAGGAACCATGATATTCTGATCTGATCTGAGTGCTGTCTCAGTACCTGTGGTGTTCATTGGTAAAGGTGTAAAAGTGCTTCTCTTTCTCATGTATGATGTCCTTCAGGCGTTTATAGACCGGTGCACTGCGGTGGCGGACCTCCTGCAGCACTGTCTGAAGGATGATCACGTTGCGGATCACGGGATCTTCCAGCACGTCAATCTGCAGGAAAGAGTTCAAGAAACACCAGAATCAGGTGCAAAAGTTACACTATTCAAATTTGAATTTTAGATTTTTAATTGCCTCGAATCCAGAAATGTTAGACCTCAAGTTGAATTGATAAACATGAACAGCATCGTCATCAAATACTGACACACAAAGCAGACTAATAGAACTATAGAAACTGTGTTGACACCACATGAAAAATGGCAATTACTCATGAGGTAAGAGGTTACATTTCATCACTTTTCCCCCCTTTCTTTACCTGATGCAGTACCACATTCGTGTCGGGGATCAGATAATGTGGATAGGCGCACAGGTTGCTCTCGATACACGCGTCTCCCTGCAGCACCGTGGACTCCTGTTTGCAGTCTGCGCAGACTTCACTTCCACACCAAATATCATCTCTCAGATAATGCTCACGCACTATCTTCATCACCCCGCCCGACCGGGTCTTCTTAATAAAGGTTTTAGATTTCAACATGACGTCCAGAAAAGCCTCGCACGGTTAAATCTCAGTGTTTTCATCCAACCAGTAAAGCAAAGGCAACAACAACTCAGCCTCACATGTGTAAAACTAACTCTGTGGGCCGACAAAAAAAAAACCTTTCCAGAGTTTTAACGGAGTCTTTTAAGTTTGATTGTAGCGGCTGTAATTGGCTTATATGATGATATTTAACACGGAATTATAAAGAAAAATAGATAAAACGTGTGTTACTCGTAAATATCTTCGGGTATTTTAGAGTTTATAGGTTAATCCAGATACTCGGTGTTAAATTTTGGTTGGCCATCCGATGAAAACAAAGCAGAGGAAGGCAGAAGGGGAATTTGCTGGCCGGGTTTATAAAGAAGTGGTCGATTCAACAGCGGCTCCTGTTTTTAGGAGGAGGTACTGCATGATCTCTCCACTGTAACAACTTGAATCTCGAGTCAAGAATTGCATTACACCTTAATTACCACGGGGGGGCTCTGTACCCACGGACAGTCAACAACACCACAGCCGAACAGTTGGCGGCTAGGAAGCAACTGGAAGCGGGACCCTTGAAAAACAACAACCTGTGCTACAGTTTCACATATCACGTTAACGCCTTAACAAATGAACTAATACATTTGTCTTTTGTAGAGCCAGCTCAAGTTAAAAAAAAAGGTGACTGAGAAGAACACAAAATGCCTCCCAAGAAGCAACAGCTGAAACCAACAGCAGCAAACGTCTCCAGCTCCATGGACCTGGAGTCGGAGGAGGTCAGCCTGGAGACGACCGTGCAGACCGCCGACGACGTCTCCTCTTCTGACGAGCAGCGGGACGGATCCCAAAAGGTGACCCGCCAGCTCATCGAAAGGAAGGAGCTGCTGCACAACGTCCAGCTTCTAAAAATCGAGCTTTCTCAGAAGAATCTCATCGTAGACAACATGAAGGCTGACCATATGTCCAAGGTAAAAAAAAAATGATGAGATGAGCCACACGCAGCACAATTTTTGCAGCACTGTCTTTGTTGCAATGCTCCTGCTGATACAGTTTCCGTGTTTGTTTGTTTTTTTGTTTTGGTTTTTTTTCATGTGACAGATTGATGAGCTGCAGGAGAGGCTTGGTGATGCTTTACATCAGAAGCACGTTTTAGAAATGAGACTGGACAACCAGCTGAAACTGACTCAAGAAGAGAGCAAGTGAGTCAGTGGAGGAGGCTGACATGGGATGAATATCATGTTGGATATCAATGCAGAATATACCTGCATGTGATCTGGGTTTTTTTTTGTACTCTATTCAGATAAGTATTAAAGTACAGCTGTTGCTCAGGAGTAGGTAGAAATTATCATGAGATTTTTTGAAAGTTCAGAGAAGTATTTCATGTTTACTGAACGTGTGTAAAATATACATTTGAGTTCCAGAGATATTTAAAAAAAAATTATTGTTTATGTTAATATTATAGTCCATGGTTCATCTGCGTGTTTGACAGTCACGCTCCAGCCACAACTAGCGCACCATCTTATTAAATACCAAATGAAACCCAGGATGGCCAGAATTAGAGAGGATAAAATCCCTAACAGAATTACATATTAAAAGTGGTTTAAATCAGTAGTTTAATCACAATAAGGTAAAATAGCTTTTATTTTATGTTATTGTTGTCATGATATTCCACGTATTACTATTAAAGCATTGCAAGAATATCTTAACTTGAGCAATTCATCCTGTCATTGAGCAGGTTATCACACATGTTGTGCTGTAATTCTTAAGATTTTCTTTAACAGGAAGCAGCAGGCATTACGTAAGCAGGAGATGGATGCCATCCTGAAAAGGCAGCAGCAGCTGGAGGAGACCAACCGACAGCTGTGTGAGGGAGCCGGAGAGCTGCGGAGGTCCCTCAGGGATCTGGACATCTCTCAGGACAAATACAAGGAGCTCCGAGATCTCCCAGATGAAGAAATGTCCATACAGGAATACGTAGCTGTAAGAAGTGGGGAGTAATGCCCTCAGTCACCTTGTTGGACCTTGTTGCTGGACAAAGTGGATTAACATATAAATCAGTTCACGATGTCTTTAAAACCGTTTTCTTTATGTGTTTAGAAACGTTTCTATGAGGTGGTGACTCCTCTGAGGACTGAGCTCGCTGAACTTAGTGGGAGGAGAGGCAGTTTGACTAAGGAGCTGGATGAACACAGATCACAGATGAAGGCTTTGCTGGAGGTACAACACACATGCAACACTTCTATGCTCCAGTCTCACTTTTGTCTGGGTTATTAAGTATGTTGTTATTACTTTATATATGTATAAGTCAGTCTTTAAGCTCCCTTATGCACTTTTGTTTCATATTTTGTTGTCCAATCATAGAGCGTATACAGTGGAAAGATGTATCTGATTCATTTGTTAACATTTTCTATACTTTTCTATTCTCCTGAGGACACATTAAACAGGTCCCAATATATTCTCTTTCTTTAAACTCTCTAGATCAAACTGTCTCTAATCAAACACTCAATTTTACTCACTCTGAGTCCCGTCTTGAAAAGTTATGGAGAGTGCCTCTTGACCTATAGAGAGGTCAAGAGTTTACCAGTTACCTTTAGAAACCATGTTTTTCTGTGTGGCTATAGACACGCAGCTACAGAGTCCTTGTAATGATTCTCCCAGCTTGCAGTGTTTGGAATGAAAGAGGTATGATCTAATGAAATCCTCCTGTCAACCTTGTAACAGTTCCCCTGTGGGCATAAATGACACGTTGACAGGATAATGATGGCTCATGCTGAAGATAAGGGTACAATTCAGGTAAGGCAATCTGGGGTTGATATGGCCCAAAGAATTTTTTTCTTGGCAAAGAAAACCTTGTGAGGCTAAATGAGAGCAACATGACTTCCAGTTTGTTACGGAACTGGTTATTTCCTGTTTAGTTTTTTTTTGTCAAATACATTCTCGCGTCCACATCTAGCAGGTAAAGTAGTCTGACCTAATTTCCACTTCAACAATTAAATGAAACCATGGCGCTTCCCACACTGATTATCTGTGTATGAGATGTCAGCGTGCGAATTAAGGAGGTACAATCCTCCCCATTTGCCGGTTCAAGTCCCAGTGCAGACTATGGGCGCACTCACACTAGGCAGTCCGTACCGTGCCCAAGCACGCTTCACCACTAAAGTCCAGTTAATTTGACCAGTATGAGTGAGCCGATCCGTGCTCAAGCACGGTACACTTCCTTGGCCCTGGCATGCTTCCAAGAGGAACACTTCATGCTTGAGCAAAAGCAAGGGGAAATTCTTTTCCACAGCACCATTACTGTCCAAACAGACAAGTCCCACCGAAGAACAGTCATACACAGAAAACAGAGTTTACCACAAACAGAGATAGACAAAAAGTCAAAATCCACCAAAGTGCTCTGTGGATGGTAAGTATAGCAGCAACTTGAGTTACAAGAAATGCCGGAGTTGTATGGCTGTGTCTGACTGCCATGACTCAAAATGAGCCACAAAGTCAGTAGAGTATCTGTCATGTTGTCTGTGATGTTCTCTGATGTAAGGACGCGGACCCGACAACACGTCTTTGTTTTTTTCCATTTTTTTTTCTTCTCAAGTCTGCCTGTCTTTTTAACCAAGGAAGCTTCATAATTACGTAAAGCCATGCTTTACGACCTTATACACAAGAAGTAACCGTGCTCAGGCCCGGTTAGTCCTGGAGCAGTGTGAGTGCAGGCTAGCAGGGGGAATGGGGAGGAATGGGCTTAAGCGCGGTATGGGACAACTTTACTAGTGTGAGTGCGCCCTATGTCTGGGTGCAAGGTGCAAGTTCACTTCCTGAGCACTGCAGAGGTGTCCTTGATCAAGACACCGAATCCCCCCCCCCCCAGCTCAGGAGCTGTTCAATAACAGAGTGTAAAATTGAATTTCCCCTCGCCAAATCTTAGTAAATCTTATTACAGTAGTCAGGTCTACTTGAGATAGATCAACAACAGTAATATGAATAATCCATAACATGTTAATGTTGTCTCTTCTGTTTGTGTGTATCCACAGAGCTATGAGGAGGAGCGGAGGCTGCGTTCAGAGCTGGAGCTGAGGAGCCAGAGACTGACCCTGGAACTGGCTGATACCAAACAGCAGATCCAAGAAGGAGATTATCGCAGAGACAACTATCCAAACGTCAAACGGTTTGTGTGTTGTTGTCTTTGGATGAAAAGGGAGGAAGGGTCTTCCTTAGGTTACCGTATCACTTTCTGAAGAACAAAAGTCCTTACACACAGCAGATCTGAGATGACCTTACTGCTTTCTCCTGCAGCATATTGATGATTGATGAGACATTTTACCACTCTAACTCCTGATTTTTGAGCCATGGAGTTTATTCTTATAAATGTACTTTATTTATTACCATATATACTGTATATTCTGCCTATGTAGCTCGTATTTTCAAATGTGTGTTAACCTTTTTTCACTCTGGTTTTATAGAGAACGTGACAACTTTGAAGCAGACCTAAAGGAGTTAAGAAGGAGATTTGAGACACTAGAAGTATCTCATACTGCACTGACCCGAGAGAGGAACACTCTCAGTAAAGAGGTGCTTAAAACAAACACTTAAAAATACTACTTTAAAGTCTCTGGATGTACTGTGTTCTGTAACAGCTTTTTGTTATTCTCTTCTTGCCCACCAGGTGGCAACATCACAGCAGTCAGTCACTCTCCTGCAGAAGGACAAGGAGTACTTACACAGGCAAAACATGGAGCTGAGTGTCCGCTGTGCACATGAAGAAGACCGCCTGGAGAGACTGCAGGTTCAAATATAAATCTTCAAAATGTCAAAAGAAGGAGTCATTTTTATGTTATTTCACTTCTTGTTTTCTTTTCAGGTACAATTAGAAGACACTAAGAAAGCAAGGGAGGATGCCTATGAAAAATATGTGGCATCCAGGTCAGGCTCTGCTGTTTTACACCACTACATTATAATCTTGGAAAAACTGTTGTTTTGTTAACTTAGTCTTACATGAGTTTTCTGTCTTTCCTTCCGCCACAGGGACCGCTACAAGTGCGAGTATGAGGCCAAGTTGAGAGAAGAGCTTGAGAACATCCGACTGAAAACAAGTCAGGAGATTGACAACCTGCAGAGAACCTCCAGGGAGATGTATGAGAGGGAGAACAGGTATGAGGATTTGTTTTGTTAAATAACTCTTAAAGAAGAGTCTGTGGTGGGGGGGGGGGGGCTTTTTGGCTGGTACACATGCTGTGTGTTGACAGGGTATTGTGTGTGTGTGTGTGTGTGTGTGTGTGTATACAGGAACCTGCGTGAGGCCAGAGACAACGCGGTGCTGGAGAAGGACAGAGCCGTGGCTGCTGAGAGAGACTCTCAGTCCAGATATGACCAACTGCTGGAACAGTGAGTTTTACCATCACTCACACACATACACAGGTTTCCATACAGTGTAAATCATACTCTATTTGTATACATGAGACACAGACATCGAGACTCATTTTGTCTTGATTATTTATTGATTCTTTTTTTCAACCACTCAAAATTCTGATGGTCAAGTTGGAAATTTCAATAAAAAGATTTTTCATGAATTACACCACAAACAACAACAACTTCTATTGTTCTATTGTTTCATCAAACTCATTGAATGTGTAAATACAGCTGGCCAATAAAGCTAATTTAGATTCTAGTAAAAAAAACTCTTGATGTCAAAGCATCTTCTCACTCTATATTACCGAGCCCCTCAAACAAATTATAGTTCATTTAGAAAACACTTATCAAAAAGAGACATTACAAAGTGCTTTACAAAACATAAAAGCCCAACAATAAACAGCAAGACATAACAAATAAAAGAGGAAACGACTTCAAACAACCGCTGAAAACGGAACAAACAAGGAACAAGTCAAACGGTTAAAAACAATGGCTTGATTAAAAAGAAACTAATAGTAAACACGCTCAAATAAATAAAGCAAAATAAATAAATACAAAGGAATTGCAAGAAAGCCTTTAGTTAAAAATGATAAAAATGTCTTCAGAAGTGATTTATAGGAGATACAGTCGAAGCTAGTCTCAGACCCAAGGAGCAGAGGAGCCTGAAGGTCCCGTTTAGTTTTTTAAGATTCAGGTGAATTCTTTGAGGAGGCAGACAGCAGTCTAAATATACTATGTATTTATTGACTTATTACCTATGACACAAGAATATGTACAGATAAATGTGTTCCATGACTTCAGGCGTCATATTTTGGAATAAACTCACATAATCAAGATTTATTTCAACCCCTGGATGTTACAAAATCACACTCTTGTTTGTGCTTCCTTTGCACAGAGCGACATCAGCAGTTCTCAATAAGCTTATATTGTTTATATGAAAAGGGGCAATGCAAAAATTAACTTTCAAAAGTAAATCAACAGAGTATGTTCAGTTCAAAACTGAAAGGGTCTATCATGTCTTCATTATACAGAAATTAACTTGTACCAACAAGATAACAACGTGTGCACACTAAATGATAATCTGCACAGGATGAATCTTTTATGTGCATAAAATAAAAAAACGTCATCTTTTAAGGTTTTAAGGATCTCAGTACAGTGTACGCCATTTGTCAAGATCAAGATGTCGGTATGCTCCTGGAATGAAATAACATTAAAGTAAACATCATCTTGTTGGACAGCTCCTTTGGCCTTTTAGGAGTTAAACACTCCTGGTTGCTTTGTTAATAGGTCATATATCAGGAAGAGTTTAAGAACTTCACCTGAGGGCAACTGTTAAACTGTCAAACTCAGGCCAGTTGGTACAGTTTTTTTGAGGTCAGGGTTATTCTCATCATATTTCAAATTCATTGCTCATCCCTGTAGGCCAATCAGAGAAGTGCTAGCTTGTGTGTTCGGTCGGCCTAAGTCAAACTGCTGTGATTAATAGAGCTGCCATCGTAGTTAGGGGTTTTTCTTTCTTTTAGTATTTGTCAGTATTTCCCTGAAAGCTGTGGGCTTGTTCTCACTCTGCTGCTGGTGTGTGAGCGTCTCATCAGAGCGTAATGTAGGAGCGGCAGGACTTTTGTGGCTGTGGTCTGCTTCTTACTGGAGATCACATGAATATTTCGCTGTAACTCAGGGGTCACAAGGTCACATGGAAAGTCAGAAGTCACTGAAGGTCAGCACCAACTGGTGTCACTGTCCTCCCTCCCTGCTTTTGGTGAGTGAAATTGTTTACGAGCAGGCTGAATGTAAACTGAGAGCTGCTGTACGATGTAGTACTGGAGACAAATGATGAGATCTGTAATGACGATGAAAACATACTTTTTTTTTTTTTTTATGTCGTATTTTTTCTAATTAAAAAAGAGAAATGTGAAAGTGATTTGGTAAAGGTGCTTTTTACACCAGAGAAAATAAATTACATAATCCATCATTTTGGATATTTTAGACAAAATGCGCTTGTGCGCGTGCGTGCGTGTGTCAACAATCTTACGCAACAATTCCTACAAGGATAATGACCTTGTAGGAAGTTTCATATCTAATGCTGAAATCACAACAACATTTAGTGAGCCTCCCCACACATATACACACTCACAGCCTACAGGACCTTTTCCTTTTCTTACTGGAGGTGTTTTTGAAATAATCCTGCACATCATTTCTAGATGCATGCATGTTTTTCTTACATAACAAGGTTTGTATTTGCAGCTGATGTTAAAACATCAGTGTATGAGTTTAAAAAAATGTTGAGAAATATATTGAGAGTATTTTTTTAATTTACAGTGTTTCAACGATGAGAACATTTTAATCAAACTATTTTATAAAATATTGAATCCAGTACAGACCGACAAACACGCACAAACAGCAGCAGCAGCAGCCGCAGCAGTGTCCCTGTCCTGGGTTACTACGACATGCCGGTCATTTCTCTAGATCCAAACCACCAGCTGTTGCTCTTTCCACACACACACACACACACACACACACACACACACACACACACACACTCACACACACACAGTCTTCACTCTCTCTTGCACTCTCTCTCTCTCTCTGCTGCGATCACATTCCCTCTCTGTGTCGCATCGCAAGCCAGTAACGACAGATGCTAGCCTCAAGCCCTTAACCCCTAACCCCACGCATGCCCCTATTTTTGGGTTAAAGAATGAGGAGGACAAGCTTGAAATGGCGTCAGATGATTGTAGCGAAGCTTGAATCTTAGTATCAGAAGACCAGTGATCACCTAAACATTAAATAAGTCTGAATTACAGTTGTCCATTTTCCATTCTGTAGCAAACCTTAACTAGCTGTAACAAACTGGTCTTGTGGAGCAGGTGCTCTAACTTAGTGTAGCTGTAAATACTGCTTTTTGAAAAGACTAGATAAGAACATTGGCTGCTCTTCTCTAGAAATATATATTTTTAGGATACACGTTGCTTCTTTGTATCTAGATTGCAGCTGCCATTCATAAGAGAATGTATAAAATGTCCACCATGTGTACACGTCTGTCCGAGCACCCAGATCAGGCCTGTGCTCTTTGGATGATGAAATCCTTTCAGGTCAGCTGTAATCGAGAGTTATTAATATTATCCCACCAACCTCCACAGTTTGATAGACTGTGTGTGTGTGTGCATGCGTGTGTGTGCGTACGTGTGTGTCTGTAATATTTTAGAGCTGCCTGAGAAAGAGCTCTGGGCAGGAAAATTACTTTTTTATTGTTTTTCAATTTAATGTTCAATTAAAAATGACCAATATGTTGTCTTACTTTGTTTCATATCTCCCATTAATACTGCAAATTAGAAGGTTTTTTTTCTTAAATTTGTCAGCAAGATTCCCCGGACACTCTGCAATAACATCCTGTGTCAAAAACAAGAATAAAGACAAGACAGTGGGTGAAATATTACTCCAAAAGACAAACATCTTCTGACAACCAAACATAACAACGCTGTGTTTCAAGATTTTCTTTTCAAAAGTTGAAATAAATATATCAGAAAACGTCGTTGGACCACAGCTAAACAAGTACAGATGTCCGATGGTAAGAAAATATTATTGAACTATTTTCTCTAATTTGCTTAAATGTAGCTAAGAATTGACAGTTTTGAATTGACTGTAATTGGACTTTGACAAAGAAGTTTTGTACTTGTTAGTGTTGCTCAAACAGCTCTATAATTCTTTTGACTTTAAATTTCAAGTTTAGAAAAAAACCATTAAACATTCGTAGTTACAAGTTCAAATAGCCGATTGAGATATTAAAACATTAGCACAGAGGATCTCAGAGTTTTCACAATGAGAACCACCACAGAAAACATTTGGCTCTCCAGGTATCACCTTTATGGCCAACATTGAAATACAGTAATCTAGGGCTATTTAACTGCATATAGAGTTTACACAGGAGGACATTTTATTCCTGATACACAGATTATTTCTTATTGACTGCATACCAAGCACTGCAGCCTGGGATCATTCTCTGTGACACTCTAAAAGAATCCACACTGGATGTGACTCGAGTTATATTTTCTTACTGTTTAGCATCGTTTGTTGCTTGTAAGTTCTGAAGCGCCACTGGTCCTGCTAACATCGCCTCTTGTAATCGTACTGTGTTCACTATCGTTGACTTCAGTTTCTGCTGTGCTGCTCGATGAATCCGCTTCACTTTTTCGATCTAATGTTTCCTGTTTGGAGCCACAAATGCAAAAAACATTTTGATCGTCATATTTGCTTCCTCTGCTTGCCATCACAGCTTTGCTTGATTTGTACATGAATTGGAATTTGGAATGAATGCATTAGAACAAGAATTCTAGGTTGACCTACTTAATCTAGAATTCAATCACATAGAATCAGAAACTGTAAAATAAGTTGTTACTCTTTGCCGATTATTATGAAACACTTAAGTAGGAACACCTTTCTTCAGCTGCCAACTAAATTGTGAAAGGTCGAAAACAAGACCAAGCATCGCTGCGGGCGCCATTGAGAAACACTCTTCTAAAACAAAATGATTTAATACTTGGCTTTCCTGTTTGGTGACTTAGTGTAACGAAGTTGTTGCCAGGCTGTGCCACAATACAATATAATTGTATCCATAAGAGGGGAGACATTGCAACATTGGGTTGAAACCACCAGGCATGCCTGAGCTCAACCAGGGGCCTCGAGCTGAGTGTGTGAGCTCAACACCTATTTCCAAACTTGTCCTACATAACACCAAAACACACATTATCTCACTGTTTTACGCACATCACACATCTTCTCACACACTTTTACTGTATTTTGTGTGTTTGTGTGTGTGTGTGTGTGTGTGTGTGTGTGTGTGTCAATGATCGACTCGTGTGTCTCAATCTATACAGGTTCCGTCAGCTCCAGCTGGGTACTGACAGTCGGGTAGCAGACTTTTCCAACCAGGCCAAGCTGCACTCATTTGAAGCCGAGCGCGCTCAGATGGTCAAGGACGAGACCGCTAAAGCTCTGGCTCAATGTCAGGTGGAATGTGAGAAACAGCAGAAAAAACTAGAGGTATTCTCAAACTTTGTTCCAATCATGTACCCCTTTAAAATATTTGACTTGTGCACAAACTTTTAAGTTATTTGTGGTAGAAAAAAGCCATCATAAGGAGACTAAATACAATGCTGCTATATCAGTGTCAGGTATATGAAACAACGACCTTTGAGGATCGCTGGCTTCATGCAGCCGTTGGCTAATTACTCCCCCACAAGATACGCAAAGCCTGGAATAGTTTTAAATGAGAATCAAAACATTTCCCTCTGTCATACAATACCAAATAGGATTTACATAAACCTAAACAATACCACACAAAAAGAATACACACAATATTATTCATTCAAATCCAAGTGCCCCCTGAAGTTCTTGGAGATGTTGAGACTCACTGCTCTAAACTATAAAGACGGGTAATAACAGTCTTTTATTTTTCCCAGCATGTTAAATCCGGCTCAGTGCATCGGGTGTCCACCTGGGCTACATCACAGAGTCCATAACACCCTTTAAAGTCCCCTCTTCCTTTATGTCCGGATGTACACACTTTCATCTTGAATTTGTTGCCTCGTTCCTTTAGAGAAGAGTCTAAAGTCCTTCTGAATGAACGTCTCACTTTGATGCTTCTGTCCTGACAGTCTTCATATGATGGTCTAGTAGCTCCGCCTTTCTCTCTGTCCACTGCAGCACACTCGTATAAACAAAAAGTTTATTCAGTGCAGATTGTTCTCGATGTCTGAATGCACATAGCTGAGGTCCACCTGTTCCCTTGTATTTAACCCTTTACTTATCCGAGTTCATGGTGATGAGATGAGATCAGACAAGGTAGAGGACTATACCTTATTTTTCAAAGACACCACCAGGAATAGATGCTGAAAGTTTGATTATTGACCCTCTATCTCCCATTTCTCTCCCTTGATTTGATCCCCCCCTCTCTCTCTTTTCTCTCTCTCCCTCTCTCCCTCTCTCCCTCTCTCCCTCTCTCCCTCTCTCTCTTTCCCTCTCTCTCCTCTCATTGATTTCCTTTAGCTCCTGACCCAGGAGTTTTACAGGCTGCAGACATCGTCAGAGAAGCGGGTCACAGAGCTTCAAGCTCAGAATGCCGAGCAGGCGGCTCGGCTTGAGACGTATGAAAAGCTCGAGCAAGAGTTGGACCAAGTCACCATGCAGGCTGCGGAAAGTAAGAGCACGTGTTTGCTCTATAATACCCATTGAATTACAGGGAAGGCAGAAAGATTAAAGCGCAAACCAACAAGCACCAGTTCATTCAGAGGCCTTGTTGTGGTACCAAAGAACGTGGTAATAACATTGGACATATAATTGAGTTGGATTACGTAAAGGGAAACATAGAGAGTGTGATATAATTAGTTCCTGAACTGTAAGAAAGAGGAAAGAAAAGATTAGAAAGATGTTCAAACAAACACACGTCTCACATTGTCGTAGTAATAGTCCTGGAGATTTAAAGTTAATATGTGTGTGTCTGTCTATTACCAGTTGAGAATGAAGAGGAAGCAGAGAGAGTTCTGTTTTCATACGGCTACGGAGCCAACGTTCCAACGACAGCCAAAAGAAGACTAAAACAAAGGTACAGTGTATTCAACTCTTTACATATAAAACTGATTAGATGTGTATTCTCTCTTGAGATACTGTATGCATTCAGACACCAACATGATTACAAAGTATGGATGATTGTTTTTTTTTCTGTTGACCTATGAAGAATAACAAACATTATTTGGTTCATCTCATAAACCATGTGCCATGTCTTTCTGAGGGTTTTAAACGTGTATTGTTTCATTTATAATGTCTTCAGAAATTCAACAAACCTATGATGACTCAATCAGCTACAAAGTTATATTTGCAGAATAAATAACTTTGAATATTCTTTTTTTTTTTTTTTTTTGGTGCCGGATAGCCTAGCAGTTATGTCAGGCGCCCCACGTATGGAGGCTGTAATCCTCGTCACAGCGGCCGTGGGTTCAATTCCGACTTGGCACTAGGCTGAATGTCATTCCCCACTCTCTCCTCCCAACATGTCCTGTCTCTCTTCAGCTGTCTAATTAAAGCAAAAGGCCCCAAAAAGAACTTTAAAAGTGTATTTTTTTACAATTTGGTAGTGGAAGAGACTCCTCTTCCTTCAGTTAATTCATATTGCTTTGTCATAAACAACACATATTACATATACATGTATATATTTGTTTATTTAACCAAAAATATTTTTTTGAATAGTGTCCTGGCCAAGACAGGCAGCAGCACAGCTAACAACTTTTCTAACAAACAGCTAGCAGCTATACCTACAAACATAATATTAGATACATGAATAAACTGAAAGACAGGAAATAACAAGTCAAACAGTTCATATTCGTCAAGAAGGAGAGAGAGCAGACACAGCAGCAACCTTTTGAGGAATCGTCTCATTGACAGGCTGCACAACTCCACTTTAAAGGCTCTGTTGTTTTATATTCAAGCTGCGTGAAGCATGGAATTAGATTGCAGTTGAACCTATTATATGAATAGACACAATAAGCCTAAGATTAAGCCTTCACTTTTTTATGGTCCGAGTATATTAAGTCTGATGTTTGTTTAATTCTTTTGTATAATTTAGTGAAACAGTTAGTTTATTGTGCACACTTTATCCAAAAAACATAATCCAAAACTAAACCTCCCTCTGTGTAAAATCAATGCTAACAGACAAACTTGTTGTTTATCTGACAGAGTCGCTGCTCAGTGAGTGTTTATTTAGTAATTTGACCACACCTGCTGTTACATCACTCACCACGTGTCACAAAATCAGTCTTTAAAGAACAAGTTCAATCCAGAATTGCCTCTGAATTTCTAACAATCATTTGCTTCTAGTTTTTGTTTATTTATTTTATTTTTTTCTGATACGCTACACTAAACACTTGACACTCAATCATTTATTTGAAAAAAAATCATCCCAAATTCATCCAGTTCATAAAGTTCACAGGGTTGGTTCGATGGTGTTTGAAAACGTTTTGTTTGTGTTGATCTCATGCAGCGTTCACCTGGCCCGCAGAGTTCTGCAGCTTGAGAGGCAGAACACATCACTGAGGAGGGAACTGGACACACACAAGTCACAGACAGGACAGGTTTCAGAAGAGGTAAACACACACACACACACACACATACGTGCACACACAGTGTCAGTGTGTGTGTGCCTGCCTGGGGACCATCATTTATGGGATAAAGCTTCGTTAAATGTTTCAAAGAATTTTTAACAAAAGCCGCGCAAGTCGGTGCCTGCAACGCACGATTTCACACCATCGAAAATCTCCCACTGTAACTCAGATTATGGTTATTCCCCAACTTCTATCAGAGCCATAATGATTTATTCCAGCTGCTTTCTACCTCTCTGTGACATAACAACGGTATTATGACAGAGCCAGCTTGGTGGGATCTCTCTCATCACCCACCATTTACCTTCTCACACCATCGCACGAGTCTGCATGACACACACACACACACACACACACACACACACACACACACACACACACACACACACACACACACACACACACACACACACACACACACACACACACACACACACAAACATGCACAAGAGCAACATCAAAGCACTAGAAAAGGTGTAGAGCTGCTTGTGAAGTTGCTCACTAAATATCACAATTCTCCAAGCTTTAGGAGAATAACAGGTTTTCTCAGCGCTGGCACGGCAGTCTTTAAACGAGGACAGCGTGTCGTTTGAGTCTTTAGAACCTGTCACACTTGTTAACACAGTGGGAAACAGAGCCAAAAAACCGTGACAGCTACGCTCTTTGCTCCTCTAACAACTCACCACTCCAGTCGTTGAGGCTTTTGTGTATTGGACTTGCCTCATGCATGTGTGTGCAAAGCAAAAGGCTTTCATATTTTAGGTGTGTACACGTAGTCGTGTGTGAGTGTGTGTGTGTGTGTGTGTGTGTGTGTGTGTGTGTGTGTGTGTGAAGTCACATGTCTGCTACTCGTGCTCCAATGCTCAAAAAACAACCTGTAAGGTTTGAAGTGTCGTGAGTGACAGCTCCTGCAGCCAGTGTTCTTGCTCCTCCTCCCACACACACTTTCTTAACGAGAGGAGAGATTGTGCAAGTCCGAATACATTTGAGGCTAAATAAGCCGGCTATTCAACTGTCAGCTGTGACTGACTAGCACTTGTAAGGCATACCTCATAATTCAGTGAGTATGAATGGAAAAGGTGACATATTTTACTTTTTATTTAATAGAAAGGGCGTTAACCACTTAACCACCCACACAGATGCACTGACTAACTAACGATTGTCCACACCCCCACCCACCCAGTCCTACTGGCTGGCTGTAAAAGTGGCTTAATGTGTAACACCCTAACTTTTAGCTATTGTTGCCCAGATTAAATGTGATACTGACTCAGTGAGAAGTATTGTTTAAGGTACAGTACATGCAGTCCATTATTTAATGACAACTATAAGTGTACTTTCCTAACAGTAAATGAATGGTTGTTATGATGGTTCATATTTTTTTGCTTCTCCTGTCTATGTATTTTTTTTTAATTTTTTTTTTATGACTTTAATGCAACTTTTCATTGGAAAGGGGATGCAACAATTCTTAGAATGTTGAACCTGCATCCACGGTTCATTGCGTGCTTTGTGAATGGCGGTATTTTCTAGGGCTGGGTATTTCCCACAACCCTGCGATACGATACCTATCGCGATACAGAGGCCACAATACGATACGTGTCGTGATATACATTGATTTTGGATCATTTATTTATTTATATACGGCTTATTTGATAGGGACGGATACAATATACGTAGACAAACTGAAAACAGCAATCCAGTGCAAGTGTCATAGTGTTTATAGTGGTTGCTAATTTGCGACACTTGTCCCTAGAAGGGCTTTTGTGCAGATAAAAATAAAAACAGTTAAAAAGGAGAAAGAAAGAGCAAACGGGGTACACTAGGATTCAGATAAGATACAAATTCATCCTTTGTACAAACAGCTAAACATGAGTACAAGTCTGTTGCTGAACTAACCAGGACTCGGTGGCTCTCTTCAAATTAGTGACCTCCACAGAGTTCACTACAACAGCTTCATTGTTGACAATTACAACGGATGCATATTAAGGATCCTACAACGTCAAACACTTCATTTCTCAGAGATCCTAGAAATGATCCCAGAGCTATGGCTGTGATGTCATTGTGAACTGCACCATAGCTTTGCAGCCATATCGATTCTGAAACGTCTGCTTCGATACATGTATTTGCAAAGAGCACATGAAGATATATTGCCGTATCGATTCATGGAGCACAGCCCTTGTATTTCCGGTTCTCCCCTAGTCAAAGGGAAACACTTTCAGGGTTTGTCTGAGTTTCCCGCAGCAGACTACATCAGGCTGTAAGGTTACTAATTGTTGTCACAGCTGTTACCTGCATGATGCAGACGGGGTGAGAGTTAATGAAGAAAAGACAAAGCAGCCTTTAAAAAAAAAAAGAAATTTCAGCGAAGCCAGTATATTATAGAAATGACATTTAAGCACTCAGTAATGACGGCATAATTAGTTTTGCACAATGTATAATCTTTCATTTGAGTCCAGATAATTCTGAAAGCATCGTGTTTACTGACATTTAGATCCTACTGTTGAATCACACACAACTCTTAAATCACATGGGCTTGAGCTTGAAAAGAAATCTCGACCTGAGTCTCAGGTGAAGAGGTAAGTGGAGAAAAACAGGAACCCCAGTTCACCCTTTGAAATTTGTAGGTGAATTACATTTTTCTGTAATTGCTTCTGAATGCACATGTGTTTGTTTCTCCTCAGTTGTTGGCAGCCAACCAGCTGTTACAGCAGACTCAGCAGCCTTATAGCTACCTGATCGAGACGGTGAGACAAAGGGACACACAGATAAGTGCACTGAAGGAGCGTGTCACCTCGCTTGAGGACGATGTCAGGTATGCTGTCAAATTATCAGAAAGGACTCGCACTCTCTGTGCAAGAAGGAACTAAACCTTTAAGAAAATCAACTCATTTTGTTTATCAACTGTCTCTCAGTGATTTTATCAATGATTTTATAAACTACTTTTTTTGTCAATAACTTTTCTGCACTCTTGTTAAGCACTTTGAACTGCAATTTAATTTGTCAGAAAGGTGCTATATAAATAAAGTTTGATTGATTGATTGAACTGTCATTAATGCAGTTGGATTTCTATCGCACTGATTTTATTTGTTATATTCTTATCACGTAATTCAGTCATCATGAAAGCAAGTCTATATATATGTATATCTCATACACCCTTCTGTCCCTTCTTTATGATCCCTACCTGTCAGTTCCTTAGATAAAACCTGCATGTTTCCATGACTTTGTCTTTGTCCCATATCATCAGCGCACCTACCGTATGGCTTACTGACCCCCCTCCCTCCCTCTGTATTTTGACCTTAGAAATATGCAAACTGGCAGACTGCAGGTTTTCTCTTGCTGCTTGCTACTGTGAGCACTGACCTGGGGCAAGCAGGGAGTAAAAATATATCCTTAGAAACGCTCATAATCTTCTTAAACTTTCACATTTGACAGACAGGGATATGGAAGTTCTCCTGTGGCTATGCATTCTGTCTAATTAGACACAGCACACACAGGAGAGTCTCCATTCATATAACTAGTCATTGTCTGAAGTATTCATTGTATTTTTCAATGTTTATTTAATGATGTTCAGCCTAAAGAGTCTCAGCAGAGGCAGATCTCTGGCTAAATGACATTCATTTATCTCAGAGTTTTCAGTGGCACGGCCACCAAGATGTTGTTTTAAGATTTGCAAGATGATTTGCTTTTAAGCTTCCCATTACAAGTTCCTGCTTGTGTGTTTCACAGCCTCGGGAAAGAAACTCTGTACAAGAGTTCAGCCGAACAAAGCTATTGATTATTTAGTCAATGTAAGAAATTCATGACTTGCATGTTTATTTAACTTATTATTTTGATGATTTTATACCAGTAAATTATTCTCTCAGTGTTTGTAAATCAAACAGCTGGCAGTGAGTCTGATTGATTGATTACTGATTGGGTTTTTTTTTATTGCCTTATAGTAAAATTATTTTGTTTGTATTTTTACCTCGTTTATACTAAAACTAATTAGAGAGTCATTAAAGTAACGAAACATCCAATTACAAGGTATACCACACCTTCACCTGACTTCACCCTGTATTGTCCCTGAGCAGACTCCACCCTAACATAAAATAGAAACAGTAAAACTGGCGTCAGTAAATTACACACTTTGATAATCCCGGCTTAAATAAAATAACAAACTATGACTATCATACTATCAATATTTCATGAGGATATATGGCTCATTGTTTGATGACTTCTACATGAACTTCTAAGTGACTACAGTATTAAATGTTGAATTCTTGATCTGTAGTATAGCAGTTTTTTTTTTGTATAAACTCAACATCTGATCACGCTGCCTGTTTTTCTGGTGTGATCTCAGTTCCCTGAGGAAAGAACGGACTGCTCTGCTGCAGGTGAAAAACAACATGGCGGCAGATTTGGAGAGACTCCTAAACCATCGAGAGGTACACATGTTGATGATGTTTGCTGTGTCATGCTTGTCTTAATTAATGAAAAGGTAAGACTGTGTGCGGTGATATAGAAATTTGAGGGTGCAACCCGCCGTGATGCATCGTGATCCAATCGAATCGGTGACAGGATAATCGTCACCAGTAAAGATGCACAGCCTTAATGATTAAAGACTAGATAGATAGATAGATAGATAGATAGATAGATAGATAGACAGATAACATCATAGGGTATGGATGAGTGAATGTTGAGGCTGGATCTTTAAATCAGTGATAGTGAGCTATGTAGTGAGTTGACACATTTTCTCTTGATTATCAAAACAATAAATCAGTTGAGTGTTTTAACTCAGAGTCTGAATTACCACACCAGACAAGATTTTGCAGTGTGTTGCTTACTTCAAGACTGCGCGTGCTCATATTCTCGTGCACACTCCCCCTGCCCCCCCCCCCAGCCAGCCGTTTGCTGTATGAAGTATGTGCCCTGTCATAGACAGCTGTTCCTCAGCCTGGGTGCTTGAGATGCCACCGGAGTGCGTGTGCGTTTCCGAGTCATGTGTGTGTGCTCGTGCGTGCGTGTAACATGCCGGGGCTCATGTCCTCAGGGGTGATAAATAGAACCATGAAATGGCCCCCTGAATCCTCCCCTCTGCCCTGCTGCCACCCCTGCGGACCCTTGAGCTTGTTGAGTGAGTTTATTAGAAGTAGTCCCAAAGATGGACTTCCAAGACTTCTCAGCTGTGCAGGCCTGAGGTTCAGGACAAACGTCCTTGAAAACACACCATTTATAAGAAATGATTTGTTAGACAGATTTAAAATGTCTGGATTGCATTTGTTTCTTCTTTTTTTTTTTCTGAAAGGTTTCCTGCTTATTGTTCTACTGTTGTTTTCACCTTCTTTTCTTTTATGAACTGTGCGATTCTCCAGGAGTTAGCCGTGATGAAACAAGTCCTGATCAGCATGAAGTCTGGACAAAGAGACTCTGTAAACCTGTTGGGAGCAGATCAAACCGGTATCAGGACCTCTAGTGCAGGAAAACAGCCGTCTAAACGGATCAACAGGACCACAGAGGAAGAGTCGCCAAGCAAACCCAAACCCACTGTGTTTGTAAGTGTCTGACGTGGAAACACCCTCGTATGAGTCACAGCACCTCCACCTGCAGAGACAAAAAAGTCCAGACAAAGGAACACACGTGTTTGACAAGAAAATGATCAATTGCTTTTTAATGTAATTTAGTTTTATTTGAGTTTTCCACTGCACTCAGCTGTTTAAGATATGCTCGAGCATAGTTTGTTGTTTATTAATAAGGAAGAATATCTTACAACTAGAGCACTTTCAGTTATGCACTTTCTTCTTTTCTCACCATTGTTTTTCCTCTCTGTCTCTTTCTTTTGCAGACGAAAAAAGAAGTTCCTGATCGGTACCCAAAGCTAAAGCACACATCCAAATGAAGAGTCTTTTTTTTTTTTTTTAACTACTGGTGCTTTTAATTGTTTATCCACTTTTTTGTATATTTAGCTTGTAAATAACACATCTGTTTCAAATTTCCATTTTTTTAAACATAAAACTAAAAAAACTACACTGATGTCTGAGTGTGTTGTTGCTCTCGTCCATGGTTACACATTGTTCAGAGAGGATACAATCCCTGTGTGCTGGTCTACAAACAGAGATATTGCCTCTCTCAGGGTACACATTCCTAGCTAACTGACTGCCCAAAAATTCCTCTTTCTTGGCAGTGTTCTATTTTATTAGGTCTGTCTATCATTATTTTCTCATCTTTTCCAGGTTTAGAGATACTTGTAGCTACGGACAAACAGCATTGCAGGAAGCCTAACCTCGGATTTGCCCGAGCTGGGACTCCTTTGGCTTTATATATAGACATAGTAGACATACCTTCATCATTTCAGACCATGTTCTTATCGGTGTCATATTAAACTCTGCTCAAGGACTGCTTTAAAACAGGACCTCTCCTTTTCACAACTCCCCCCCTCTTCTTTTTTAAACTCTGCAACACACAATACATTGTAATTGTATAAAGCTATTCTTATCACAAGTTCAACCCATGTATTTTTTTTTTACAAACACAGCAGTGTAGCAGATATATTTGCTGGCACCTTTAATTTCTGAAGATATTTTCCAACTTACTTGTATTTTAGAAAATGTGATACATGTTTTGTGCATTGTAAATAACATTGAACTGACCCAAGAGGAATTTGAAAACAACCCAACCTGCTCAGTCACATTCAATTTAAATCACATCACATGAAATGTTACCAAAGTGCAATTCACAGTCCAATAGAGAAGTACTCCAACAAGCACACATGTAGACTGAACCAGTCGATTACAGTATACAGGGGTCCTAAACCTGACAGTATTTGTAGTCATGATATTTTGATACTGATGAAACTATCATAGTGCAGTAATCACAGTTTACCTATGTGTTGACAATATATACTGTGTATATATAAAGTATACTTATCATCAACAATGTCAAGTTAGGTTTAAGGATTTAAAAAATCCCTTGAAAGGGCCACTCATAAGCATTAATACTCCAGCTTTAAAAAACCAAAACTAATGTGTTTTATGGAATACAAGTTCAGGATAAAGATGCTTTACTGGCATGAATGGAAACAACTGTTGTTGCCAAAGCAAAAAAAAAACATCTGACAACAATATAACGTACAAAATATTTGACAATTATGGTAAATATTAATATATATTTAAATATAAACACATGCATACATATTAAGATACCAGCTTAAAGTAGATAAAAATCGATTACATGACTAAAATAACAAAACACTGTGAAATAACTAACTGCTCGTCTTAGGTGGCGATCAGTTACAAATAGTGCTGCTCAGTGTATAAACTAAATAAATTACAAAAGTTGCAAATACAAATTACGCAAAAAATTCTACACACATACAAAAAAAATGGTAAAATATATATATATGATTTTGAGGTTTTTTTTTTTAAGAAGTGGCAATTAAAGATGCTCTAGGAGACTAGCCTATATAGACACTTTGCTTGGGGAGCTGTAGGATGCTGTTGTTGTTTTTTTTTAAATTTAGGAAATAAATTCGAATAAGGCATAAAAGGTCATGATATCCTGGATCCTGGTGGTTTTGATTTTTGATCATTGTATAACAGAAGCAACATAAATCCTTATATGTCCCTGAAAGGGTTTGTCCTGAATGTTTTTTTTTTTTTTTTTTTAAGATACTGGTGATGATTTCATGGCAGATTTAACACATGGTGAGGATGTTTGAAGAATGTGCTTGGTGAGTTTAACCTTCACTGCCTCTGTGGATGTCTGGCTGGCACTCTGTGCACTCTACGACAGTGTTGTTAATGTATTTAGATGGAGCGTAGGGCGGTGGCTGGTTGAATGAATGATCAAAGGCTTTTAAAGGGAACTGTGGGCGGTGCATGTGCTGTATTTACACTGTGGCTGCTCCGCCCTACGAACAGGAGATAGAAAACTGTCCGTGGGCCGGCGGAGGGGATGAAACAAGTGGAAGGAGATGGAGCAGTCATAACTCCCAACACTAACCACCACGCCACACCGCTCTTTTCACCTCGTCGTCTTCACTCCTTCCCCTCCCTCCACCCCCCTCCACCCACAGTACGGCTGTAGCATCCTCTTTGCGTAACAAGACGAAAGCTCGTCTGCGGCGCTGCACCGGAGCTTCATGGCCGCGACGCTGACGATGAGCGGCGGCGGGCAGGAGGATCCCTTCTACCCGCTGCAGAAGACCACTCTGCCCACCGGATTCCCCCTGGAGGAGTCGGCGTTGTTCGGCTTGGATTGCAAGATCACAGACACGGATAAGACTGGGAACGACTACACTCAGGTAGAAACCAAATCCATTTTACACATTTAGTGATGTATTTCATTGAATGGGCGTGGCAGAGAGGTTGTAGATCCAGGTTGTTTGTTTGTTTGTTTTTTTCGTTGGACTCTTATATACAATCGGTGTTGTTGCGGGGGGCTGTAATCATCACTTTTTTTTTTTTGCACTATTTGCTGTAATATGCGAGCGACCAGCTGGACGTGAAGCCTAGCCACTGCTCCGCCTGTGAACGCATTCACCGCATGTTTTCTATCTGTGCCAACCAGTTGGCCAGCAGTTGTTGGCGTCCCCTCTCACCGTCATACCACGCTGACAACAACTGACTCCAGCCTCGGGACAGCAAAGGTCCCGGCAACTCTGTCCCGCTGTTCACAGGAAAGTTGTGCAGCAGCATAGGAGAGAGTCCTGTTTAACAGCTGGTAGGATCAGGAGCCTAGAAATAGCAGCCCATCCTCAGACTGCTGCTGCTGCTTCTGCTGCTGCTGCTGCTGCTGCAGCGGACAGGGAGTCATGGGTGTTTCCCCATTCCCTTTCATGTTGTTGTTTCATCCTCTGCTGCAGGGCTTCTCTAACTTTTCAGTTACAGATTCAGATTCAACATTTATGAGACCGTAGCGCACAATAGAAGCAAGGTGGTGTTTGACCTAAAAAAAAAAAAAAATCACCTGTCAGGCAGGGCATAGGTTGCTTTCTTTAGACTGTTATCTTCTGCAGAGATTCCCCATTTCTCAGTCAGAGGTGTTAGATTTAATTCTTTATTGCTGTGAAAACCTGGCCCTCGAGTCTCAACCTGGCGTCGCAGCTGGGAGGTTTCTGAGTTCAGCTTTGCAGGCATAGAGGGAATGTGGCAAGCGCCTATTGATGACTACTTGATAAATGTTTGAGCGGTGACTGTCCTATCAAAACCTTTTGTCTCCTCGAAATAGCACCTCAGAATAGTTTCATGGTGGATCACGAGATCACAGCTGTAGCAGGAGCTGCACGCATTTAGGCAAAGTTCACTTTAAGGCCGTGAAGTGAGTGGTAACAGACCTTCTGTTTTTGTTTTTATTCCCAGGCAAAATGTGAGATGGACAGGTATCTCTCCCCTCATTCTCTTCCCCTTCCGCCTTCATCAGACGGCCAACAGAAGTCACAGAGAGATGGCGCGTCCGCGATAGATCACTTCTTCACATACGACCACAACGGGCCTCCCTACACCCTCAACATGAATCTTTACCTCCCTGACGCCGCGTACCTGAGGATGGGCTTGTGTCAGCAGTCTCGTCCCCATCAGCACCAGAACCACACAGGTCTTACCCAAATCAAAACAGAAAACGCCTCCCCGTGTTTCTCCCCGAACCTGCAGCTGCACTGCCCCAACGCGACGCCCGCCAGTGCCTGCAGCACATCCGGGCACGGCCCTGGCGGCGTCGCCATGGAAACCTCGGCCATAAACATGGCGATAACAGGGTTGCCGGACTTCACCAGTGTTTTCAACCAGTCTGGAGGCGGCAGCAGTGGCGATTCAGCGCCGGAGGTGTTTGTAAAACAGGAAATGTCGTCACAGTTTGAACAGCATGCTCTCCACCACCACGACAATGGCGGCTCACTGTTTCAGCTGCTGAACTCTGGCTTGGACCATCACCATGGCAATGGTATGGAGGCGCAGCATCAACAGCAGCAGCAGCAGCAGCAGCATCATCATCATCAGCAGATACATCACACTTCCACTTCCACAATCCACGCGCCTTTCCACGATTTGCCGGCAGCTTCTTCTGCATCTCAGCAAGAGCAGACGACAAAGCCTTCCTACTGTGGCCTGGGTGGAGGAGCATACACACACCCTCACGCTCAGGTGCACCAACATTTCCTTCAGCAGCAGCCACCCTACCTGCCGCCCTCCCCACCCAGCTCGGAGCCCGGCAGCCCTGACAGGCAGAAGGAGCTGCTCCATGCCATGTCCCCGCCTCCCTCGTACGCGGCAACCATTGCCTCCAAGCTGGCAGGCAGCTCTCCTGGACTCACGCCGGGCTCAGGACCAGGCAGCTTAGCCCTGCCCATAACTACAGGTCCCACAGCGGCCCCAGGCCAGGCCACTGGCCTCCAACAAAATCCTGCAACAACCCCAGCAACAACCACAGCTCAGACCACTTTGCCAGTCCGCTACAACCGGAGGAACAACCCGGACTTGGAGAAACGACGAATCCACCACTGTGATTACCCAGGTTAGAACAACAACAAAGCACCACTAATGCACCTGCATGCTGACTCTTGTCACTTGGGTGGGTTTATTTATTATACTGCTCTGTGGTCAGGTGAATATCAGGTTGCCCAGCTTAAGAATGCCAGTTTTATTTTAAGACTACTGTGCATTTCTAAAAAATGACATGCTCTGCATCTTGATTCGCTTTCCCTGGCCTTTGAGTCACGATATGTTTTACAGCTACAACAGAGCTCACACTGACCTGGAATTAAAATATTTGGCAAAGGACATCATAAGACAAAGCCTTTCATTTCACTGTCTGCTGTAAAACTAATTTGTATGTATCATCTCACCTCAAACGACTCAAGCACACTTAGCAGTGAGCGCTTGCATTGTTGTGGCTTTAACGTCATCGCTGGTATGATTGTGGAATGAACCTGTGTGTGTGTGTGTGTGTGGGCGCCAGGGTGTGTGTTAATTAAATATATCTTTTCCTACAGTCGCACATATTTGCATACAGTCCCACTGGTGATTACGCACATAACC